AAATTATTTTTAACTGTTCTTTTACTATTAACAATTTACTATTAACATTTAATACATATATGTATATGTATATATATATATATATATATATATATATATATATATATATATACATACATATTTGTTACGGTCGATGTGATAAGACCGGTCTGTATTAATAATTACCGGTAAATATTAATAGTAACCGTAGCCGTTGGCCAATGTAATTAATAATGCCTTTATAATTAGATCTCTCTCTTCAATCCTGACCCCCCAGGGGGAGTGTAGTGGTCGACGTGATGTCGTGTATTGTCCGTCTCCAGAGATCTCTGTCTCTGGTCATTTCTTTTAATTCATGCATAGGTCTTTGGCATATTCCTGTAATTTGATCTATCCATCTTGTTGGGGATCTTCCTCGTGATCTTCGGCCTTCTACCTTTCCTTGTATTATGAGTCTTTCCATGTTTTCTGTGTTTGCTCTCATAACATGCCCAAAATATTTTAATTGTTGGAGATGGACTTTACTAGAGAGTCGTTGGCTAACTTTTAGCTCTCTTAAAATTGAATTATTTGTTCTACGGTCGGTCCAAGGAATTCATAACATTCGTCTCCAACAGAACATTTCAGTGGCGTCTATCTTTCTTCTCTCCGATTGTCTCAGAGTCCAAGATTCACATCCGTAGGTCAGTATTGGGAATATTAAGCAGTTGATCAACCTCATCTTTATCGCTCTTGAAATTTGACATTCCTTCCATATTTTGGTCATTTTTGCTGTGGCAACTTTTGCTAGATCACATCTACGTTTAATCTCTTCTTGTAATGACCCTGTGTTTGTGATTAATGATCCCAGATATAAGTATGAGCTCACAACCTCGAACCGGTCAATTGTGGTTATGTGTGGATGATTGTTGTGTAGTCTATCCACTATCATGATCTTTGTCTTTGATATGTTTAATTGCAGACCAAATATTTGACTTTCGTTTTCGATCAGTCGTATAAGTTCCATCAGCTCTGCTTGACTATTTGCAAGAAGGGCTGTGTCATCTGCGAAACGTAGGTTGTTTAGTTTATGACCATTTATTGAGATGCCCTTTTCCCATCCTTCAAGTGCTCTTCGCATAATATACTCTCCATATATGTTGAATAATTGTGGAGATAGTATACATCCTTGTCTGACACCCCGTTCTGGATGAAACTCGTTCGAAAGTGTGTCAAGTACTTTAACTGATCCAGTAGTGTGTTTATATAGTTCAGTTATAAGCGTAATTAGATGTTGTGGTACGCCTACTTCTTTTAGTATTCGCCAAAAGTGTCTCCACTTGACCCTGTCGAACGCTTTACGGTAATCTATAAAACAGATGTATAGTGGGATGTTGAATTGCCTAGATTTCTCGATTATCTGTCTTATATTCAGCAGGTGTTCTCGAGTGCCTCTACCTTTGGTAAATCCAGTTTGCTCTTGTGGAATTTCTCTTTGAAGGAATGTTTTCAGTCTCTCATTGATTATATGTAGCATTATCTTGCTGGCATGGGATATAAGAGAGATAGTTCTATAATTGTCGCATTTATGGAAGCTGCCTTTTTTATGTATGGTCGTTATTGTAGATTTTGTCCAGTCTTCAGGCCATTGTTTGGAATGCCATATTTGGTTACAGAGTAGATGAAGTAACTTTACGCCGGTTTCTTCTGTGGCTTTAAGCATTTCTGCTGTTATCATATCTGGACCTGGTGCTTTGTTATATTTGAGCTTGTTGATAGCCTGTCTTACTTCATTTTCGAGTATATCAGGTTCTTCTTCCACCTCGTCAGAGATTTGGCTAACAAGCTCTTGGCGTTGATCATCTTTATATAGGTCCCTGCAATACGATCTCCATGTCTCTGCTATGTCTTCTCTGTTTGTTCTCAGGGCTCCAGTGTTATCTTCAATGGCCCAAGTTCTGGCTCTGAAGTCTCTTGTCAGGTAGCGTATTTTTCTAAATAGATCTCTCGGCTGATTATTCTGACCATGTCTCTCAATTTCTTTGCATATACTTTGATAGTACTGTTTTTTGTCGGCCTTACATCTTCGTTTTATTTCTTTATTGAGGTTTCTTAAACTAGCTTTTTCCTTTCACTATGTACACCACTTTTACAAAGATTTCTTCTATTCTCAATTATTTTAAGAGTTTCATCGGCTAATCGAATTAGATATATCGGCTATTATTAATACTTTCCTAACAATTCTAGTTATTGTAATAAAAATGCATTATGGGCTTCACTTTTGTTTATTTATGAAATTTGGTACTAAAGTTAAACACTTAAACAGAACTTATTAATCAAAAAATCCCACTAGATATGTAATAAGTAAAAACAAACTCATACACACATTAGCCATTAACTTACCAGACTATAATTGACTGATTAGCAAGATCTGAAATCTCTTGAATTTTTTTGAAGTTGTAGTAATTGCAGTGCTATCTTCTTGACCTCATTTTCTTCAACTCATACTGGCATTGTCTTCCGCATTGACAGCAACTATCGTACATGCATTATGTTCGATTGGGCTGTTAGTGTAACCTGATTCTTCAATATTCGCTAACTCTGAGTTCTTGGTTATACTGTTGACATCCACATTACCACGGTACTTTGCTCCAGCATCAGAATCATCAGATTAAGGTGTTAATATCGCTTCTAAATCTTCTTAATCTCTTCTAAAGCTCAATAAGTACCATCAGGAACAATGTTTTTAATCCCACTTTAGCCTTACAACCGAATAGTGCTTAATATGGACTACAATGAATGCCGAAATAATAATTTTTCAATGCTTTATTTTTCATAAATTAAATTAACTTTGTTTCAGCCATGTGGCCAACATTTTCTCGTTATCTTAATATATGCTCTCTCTACCGAACCATGTGACTGGTGTGTTTGGGTTTTCCGTGGATAATTTTTAGTTCGTCACACAGACTGCAGACTTCTTTTGTACTATCGTTTTTTTTTGTACTTTGTGAAAACTTATAAAAAAATGCAGTTTTATTTAATCAATACTATTAAAAAAGTGAAGAAATACAATTGTGAATATTGCAAAATCATTTTGCAAAAACCTGCTGATTTTTTATTTTATAAACAATTAGAATAACAGTTGCCTGCAGGACAGTTATTTTTTCAAATTTGAGAATCTTGTTATTTTCCACAAATTTAAACAAAAAAGAAGAATTTCTCCTAGGACAGTTTGACACGAAGTTAGTACATTTTTCTGTAATAATTCACAGCAGTTTTGTTTATAACAATTAAGAGATCTAATATAATTAGTGTCATTTGAAAGAACGTTCATAAAGCTTCAAAATATGGCCCTCAAAATAGGTTGGCTTTGAAACTCGTGGCATTGATGAAGGGGGATGGAGCTGTTAACTGTCTATCTATCTTTGGTTCTTCTTGATGAATTTCGATATTTCTTTTTTTAATTTGTATGTACTTTACCTAGATTAGTAATACGCATTATTTAAATAAAAATATCATCTAATCCGTTTAAACAATTTTTTATTCTTTTTTAATAGTATTTGGGGTAATTTTTATTTTAAAAAATAAATATTTGTAATTATACTTATAATTATTAAACTTATACTTATTTTATAAATTTTGTAAATAATTTATTTATAATAGATTTTATGAAAGAATGTATCATATTTAATTATTTATAAAAATTGGTTTATGTATTGTTTTGGAAAGGAAAAATCTTAAACAAACTAGGTTTTATTTCTGGCTAAACATGGTATTAGATGAATAAAAAACTGAAGTTACAAAATCATTTGCAGAACATTATATAGTTTTTTAATTTTATTACAAAATAAGATATAGTTTAGGGGAATATAACATAATATGTAAATATTTTTATGAAATTTTATTCTAACACTTAATAAAATTTGTACATAAATTTTAAGGTTTTGTAAAAAAAGTGTAATTACAAAAGTTGTAGATTATTTTATTACCCACAATTTTGCCATTTAACTATTTTTCGGATTAAATGGACTCGTAGTTTTGCTGGATATTCTAATAAACCATTTTTATTTCGAAAAAACTGTCCTTTTTCAACTTTCAGACTTTAGATCTATAAATTATTTTTCCTTTAATTTTTGTTATATTTTATTCCTTTTACAATGGGTTTTATCCTATTACTTTTTTTTGGTCTCAAAATTATTGGCCTGACAACTTAAAATATGTAATGACTATTCAGACCATAAAATAAAATTTTATGTTGGGTTTCATGAAAATGTGGAACAATAGAGGCAATTCAGTTTTTTTGGTTTATGTGACTTCTAATAATCTTCAATAATCCATATTGATTTTGCTATATAGGCTAAATTTATTTTAATATATATATATATATATATATATAATATATATATATATATATATATATATATATATATATTGTAGTTTTGAGTTTCTTGAACCGTAGTATATTTAATATAAAATTAATGTTTCTTGGGTTTAGGTTCAATAAAGATATGTTAAATGTGGAACTAGATTTTATTTTCCATTGCAATCAATCAACGTTTCGGCAGGAAACCCTTGCCTTTGTCAAGATTCTAAAATGTGTATATATATAAGGACAAACAGATATTGACTTACTATATTGACTATATATATGACTTACCAAAACGTAAAACGTGACACAGACATGTTGATATCTGATATCTCATTGTTCACTGTCATTAGTATATCATTATTTTTATATGGGCGTATCGTTGATGTTTTTGAAAAAGGTAAGGTGGAGATATGTTATGATTTTAAAAGCTTTTTATGATGTTATATTATTATTGTTTAAATCAGATTGAAATATATTTTATTTAGGTTTTGTGTGTCTTTTTTGTCATTTATTGCGTTGATGTTTCTTTTTATTTCTATTGATTCGTATATCTTCCTCTTCCTTTTTGTTTTTTTCTGTTTTTAAAATTTTGATGTTTTTGATGATAACTATATGTTCTATATTTATTTCTTAATAGAGTGCTAAATAAAAATGTGTACTTTTTTTGTTTTAGAATCCAATCAAGATGAATATGATAATGAAATTGCAGAAAAGGTGAGTAAATATTTCAATCAACTATATTTGATTACAAAATAAGGAGGGATTGTTAAGAACCGATTTTAAAACTGCAAACTGTTATAATGTTATTCCAGCAGCATACTTATTTCATTATTTTTTGTTAAAATTGAATTATTTTATTAGAAATAATTCTACCTGTTCGTGTCTTTGTCGTTCTGTGAATTTCATAATTACTCGATCTGTCCTTACTAATATGGGAATATAGGTGCGTGACTTCTTACGATTAAAGCTCTTACCGAAATCAATTTCTTAAAGCCACATATATCATTTGAAAAATAATTCATATTATCTTAAAACTGTTATCTACAATGAAATATGTGCTGCAACGGTGAAGATCGTATCACCACCAAATTCATACTTGTCAGCATATAACATTTTTGTTGATTATTGAAAATGAAATAGTCTGGATAATATCTTAATGGGAATTACATAGGCGGTAAATAATTAATTGGCAAAACTATTATTTAAAACATGCGAACAAATTTTGCAATCAATGTTTATCGTTAATATGATAGTATCAGCAGTTCAACTTGTGTTCGATTATTTTGTCTTAATATTTTTCATACTCATCTCATTTTGTTAATAAGCTTTTTATTGTGAAGTAATACAAAATATTAGGTTAAAGTAAGGCAGATTTGCCGATTTGACGATTTTATCAGTTTTTAGTTAAATACAAATGGATATAACCTAGTGTTGTGTTAATTGTTCATTTTACAAGGACTAAATCAATCAGTGACCGACTTTGAAAACAATCGAATCATTTCAATCATTCGTTCGTTTCAATACTTTTCGTTGCCGTTTAAAACAAATAACAAGCAACCGATTGATTTAGCCGAGTCGACTGAAAACCGGTAGTAGTGCTTACCTTATTTCATATATGTATATTCACCTTCATTGTCCTAAATAAGTGAATGTTAGTGCGAGTAGGGCTTAGCTTAGATTATAGATGAAATATTCGAAAAGCTAGAATTTATTATGTTTTTGTTTTTAGGTTCTTAGTGGAATGTGCGGCATCCAAATATAAAAATATTTATTGTCATGGTGAAAATTTTAATTTTGCCATATTTTATGATTTTAACTATCCAATAACTATTAACAACACAAGCGAAACCAATCGCTTGGGCCCGATAGAATATTTTACTGTCGGTCTAAAGCTAAGTTGCTACCTTGCACATTCAATTTTTAATTCAGTATGTAATATTTTAAATTTTCAATGATTCAGACGAACGCAATAATTTAGCTGCATGACATATTATATCAGTCCTCGTCGCAAGTGAGGAACGACCGAGGAGCCAGTACCCAAAGTCATGAGAGTATTGGCTGCTATCATTCGATCGTTTTGAACTAGCGAGATTCGGTCGTTCAATATTTTGAAGTTATTGAATCAAAACGAACGAATCAATCAAATTGATACGACGCTAATATGGCCAATTGTATAGGTTTACGATATACACGTCATATACCAGTGTCACAAGATGAAAAAAATTATGAGGTACATGATGGCCTAAAAAAGACCTCCTTTAACGGAAGTCGTTAGTCACAGTTCTTATTTAAAAAGAGTTTTAGTGGCAACTGTTAAAACTATTGTGTGTGAGAAAAAAACTAACAAATAATTTTAAACCCCTATCTACAAATTAGTGGGGACGAAAACCTGTTAAGTTGGATGAACCCAAAAAAAAAAGCTTTGCAGAACTACATTAATTTTTCTTTGAAAATATGAGAGATGAAAACTACAAAAACTAGAGAAAGTAAAAGGTTGGTAAAGCTACAAAAATGCTGGAAACTCTCCATGAAGCTAATACTCAATTGCTCTCAACAAACAATTGGTCTTAAAATGAACACCTCAAGAGCAAAATTTTTGACCAAAAAGCAAAATTATAGTCAGCGATAAAATTCAAATTTTAAGCTCTATTATTAAACAAGTGATAGCTTACAAATATGTAGGGTATGAGATCCGTTTAGATCAAGGTAATTAAACAACTGAAATACACAGAAGCGGCATTTTCAAGTCTTATATTCCAGTTTGTTTAAAAAAAAAAGGTTTTTAATCAATGAGTTTTGCCGGTTCTTACATATAGCGCAAAAACACTAACTCTGGTAAAAGAACAATAAATAAACACGAGTTACACAACACGCTATTGAAAGATCAAGTATAAGATAAAGTACCAAACCTAGAAATAAGAAAAATAACAGGAGTCGCGGATGGAGTTGATAGAATAGCTATGGCTAAATCGGCTTGTAACAATTTATAATTTGCTTATAGGGGTTGAAAGGGGGGAATGAACAATCACTGGGCTTGTAGATAGGGTAAGCAAATAAATTTAAACCTTTGCAAGTGGCTACTCGTGTATTGGTTGGAGGGGTAGGTCGTGGAACGATTCCTTTATTTGAGGGATTGGGACAAACTAACTACGAAATACTTACACAGATCTCCTGCGCAACACTACACAAGAAGATTCCTAAACTATTTAAAATGGATGCCGTTTAAAAAAATCCTCTTGCTTTGAAAGTATTTTTTTTTCATAAAAAAATTTAAGGGTGAAAATCTTTTTAAAGGAAATAAATTTCTGGTTTAAACAGAAACATTACATATTTATTTTTATTTCACATAAACAGTTATTATAAATAAAAATATCCAAATTGATCAACAAACCTTAGATTGAGTTAACAACAGACTTTAAAATTTTGGTTATGTACCAAATAACAGAAAAGAATAATACTGACTGTCATATGTCGAAATAAAATATCAAACTTTTCTAAATTAATAAACAATTATCAAGGTTAACTTTATTAAAAAAAAAAACTAAAATATGACAATTGACTGATCCATAAAACTTTTAGACAAATCTAACAAAATTATCGTCTTCGCAAGCTAATTATTTTCTTTTAAATTATTAAAAAAGATTGCTACCTTGGAATTGAATACAAAAAACACTGTCCCACATAAACTTCAAACCATCTGGATCCGAGCCATGGGAGACATAAAATGTAAGCTGGACAAATCTTGGGGAGGTCAAACATCGAACTGGACTTCAGGTTATCCTGGATGACAACAATATGTATTCTTAAAAACTCAGCTGCTTAATTTCCAAAACCATGTGGGTCTCACTTAGCCCTCAGACATTCAGTTTATCAAATCGTGTGACACGAAATACAGCAACAAATCGGTAATTGTTTCGCTTTTCAAAGACAGCCATATAGCAGTTGAGTCTAATCAGCTTCCTTTTAATCAAAACTTATCGAATTAAGCGAAAACTTTTCGGTTTTTGAAACTATCGCCGAAAAAGATCCTTTCCCGTTCAGACCCCAATTCCTTCTTATTGACTGCTCACTAATAAATTTCCGATGACAAAAAGAATAATGATATCGAATTTTAAGAAAATCCGGACGCAAACATTGAAACCGGCTGCTTTAACAGCCAATCTATCGAGGAGTGGCCTTATCTTCCCAAATCGGTATAAACATAAAGGAGAAGATTTTATCTATTTGATGTGCAAATATCTAGGTGAAATCAATGTCAAACAAAATAGCAAATAAAATTATTTAAAAACAGACTTGAAAATGCTTATATTATCAATCTCAGAGACGCAAAAGATTGAAAATCTTTTTCGGTGTTTTATTATTTACGTAGTGAAATGAAAATACTACAATGTTCTTAGACTGGCGGATGATAGATGGACTAGAAAGATTCTGTAATAACGACCACGACACAGGGAAAATCGAAGCAGAGAGCGACCACTAACTACATGAACGGATGATATAAAGTGCATCACCCCAAATAGTATGCAAGAAGCTTAAGAGAGAAATAAGTGTAAAATTTTCCGGGAGGCCTACTTTCAGCAGTAGACAAATATAGGCTAATTGATGATAAGGTGTAAAACACAATCGTAGCTCATTTCAGTCGATATTGAAAACTTTGTTTACTAGTATCTCAACTTTACCGTGACCGTTATACCTTCTTGATATAATAGAGACATATATATTAAAGCTGTCCTATTTGTTGCTGACAGTAATCTAAGTAACTCCAATACTTAGTTTTCTTATTCAAACTTGATTTGGTAATAAAAAACCCAAAATACATTAATTCTCATTTAGATAACCTTCATAGGTCAAACTTGTGCCTGACTTATAATGAACGATATTTATAAAAATAACCTACCTAACATATTTTTAACTCATTGTTTCGTAAACGTTAAAAATGTTATTTTCATTATTTTTTACATTTAAACGACGAGTACGTGATAAGACAAATATTTTTAAATGTAAGTTTACAATAAGTTTGCATAAATATTTCGTTAATTCTTTAGTTTATGCATAAAATGTCATACCTTATAACATGAAATGAAAGTAAACTATTCGAAAACATATTTTTTATAATTAATATATAAGTCACCTTCAAATTTGTAAGTTTTTTCGACTGCTTTAATCACATTTTTTCATCAATTTCTAGCTTGTGCCATATCAGTATCAGCACCCTTTACATGTCATGTCTAAGTGTCGTAGTGATTGATTACCTTCTTGACAATGAATATGCTTTAATCATTATAACATCCAATTATGTTCCATTTTGGCATCAATTGGTACACCACAAGAATTCCTCTAATATCCATTCTTTTTTATTTTAACTATTATCACTACAGCTGTTTCGGCTGATAGCCTTTCTCAAGTGATCTATTTTTGGCTTGGGTTTACAAATTTATAGGTCTCAAAATCTACAAATTCTGTCTCAAAAGACAACTTTGAGACAGAATTAAATATAATTAAGCAAATAGCAGTAAACAACGGATACAACGAACAAACAATTAATAAAATGTTAAATCAAAAACTACACAAGAAAGCCCTGAAAATAGTATTTCCACCACCAGAGAAAAAACCCAGTACCTTCTGCTCGATTACATATACAGGCAAAATAACAACAAAAATTTCCAAACACATAAAAAAGAAAGGAATAACACCAGCTTTCCGAACAAATAACA